TTCTCCCTTCCCCATTGGCCCACCATTACACCACACTTTCTGTATGACATCGTGATCAATTAGCTTATCAGCCAATCAGAGTGCATCTTATTCAGGATATAACATGAAGGTTTTCTGAAGGAAAAAGCCATTAAAAGAATCATTTTGTGACTTACTGCTACAATTAATAATTGTCCCAGTAAATGCCCAAACCCCTACAGAATTGATGCCTCATGAGAGCACACTACACAACTAAAGGGAAATTTTAGTAGCTGAGCATAAAAAGAAGAGGAGCATAAAGCATCTGATGGTCATAAACAATATTAATTTAGGAACAAACATATTATGTAAACTGTATATGGCTGGTACTGGTATTTAAAAGAAAAACCCTAATACGCACCAGTATTCCACTTTCTCCCTAAACGTTTTAAGCATCAAAGTCTTACATGTGGTTATTTTGGAAACATTTTTACATGCTCCTTCTGACCATATTAAGTTTATATACTTTGTGAAAAGTGATAAATTTGTAACCTTTTCTGTGAATTTGCTTGTTATCGGCATAAAAAAAGCATACTTTTAGAATTTGCTTAATAGGGAATATAATATGGAATCACGTATCTAAACAAATTAATAATGATATAATTATATTCATATACTGTAGCACAAACAGTAGTATAAGACTTTCTATTGTTATGTGTACGGCTGTTTCACAGCTTTCCATGTGACTGTGACTGTGTCTGTGGTGTGATGGCTTAAACTTGTGCCTAATATGTCTGAGGTCTCCAGTTCAAGCCCTGCTATCGCCATGAGTTTTCTTTTAACAACAAATGTCTTTGGAAAACTAAAATAGCAAATATTACAGACACTATATTGACATTTTTATAGTTCTAAATATCACAACATGATCAAAGATAAGTCATTTATTAATAACAATGAATAATTTCAAACTGCTACTGATATTATTACTGACAATAAATATTATCGACACTATATTGTCATTACAAACATCTGTGTAATGTTGGCCATACAGTGTAAGCATTACTGAAGCTTAAAGTTTAGCCTATGTCACTAATGTAACCACTAAATAAAGACATAAATATAGAAATCCTTACGTTACAAACTGTATATAGCTGGTACCAATACCAATTGGTAAATAAAATACCAATACCAATGTGGGTGCCAGCTGTCTTGTAGTAATTGCTGGCAAACCGATGGTACAGCACCTTGTTAATCAAGACCTCCTTTGCTGCCCTTTTTGCGGTATTATCCTGATGTGACAATGTTCCAGCAGGACAGCACTTATTTTATTCATCATTGTGTTGTATTGTTCCTTGATGGCCTTCCTGCAAGGTGAGAAAGTGATACTGTAGTTATACTGTGGATGGCCTACTCTCATGACTGGAGCCTCATTGAACATTTGTAGGATAAGGTGGGATGACATGTTTCTTTTGGCTGTGAGGGAGGAAGGGGACTTAATCTCACAAAACAGCAACTGTGACCTGATAACTATCATGTGTTCTTCTGATGTACAACTTGTATTTCTTTCAGCAGTGATCACACACACTACTGATTTGAGACTTTCAGAGTAGACTTTTGGCAACCCTCACAGACCAACCCTACAGATGAAGCCATTCAAAATGCACAGTACAAACCCGTACCGCACGCAACTACCCACAAGCCACCACAGGTCACCGCGGTAAGTGATTGGATGGCCAAAATGACCGACAGGGGCACTCGTGGTGCATTGGTCGGTAGTGAAAAGATTTAATCATTTAAACTGTGCCCGTCTTAGTATTGAATATTTATATGAAATTTTACCACTAAAGGGAAATTTTAGTAGCTGACCATAAAAAGAAGAGGATCATAATGCATCTGAAGGTCATAAACGATATTAATTTAGGAACATAAACATTACTGTATGTATACTGTACTGTGTATGGCTGGTCTTGGTAGTTTAAAGAAAAAATACACACCAGTCTTCCATTTCTCCCTAAACATTTTAAGCATGAAAGTTTTATGAAACGGTACCCAAATATGCGATTGCTGTATAGAATGAATTTTAATTTAAAAACATTATTTAACACGAAAATTAAGCTGTTTACATCTTCCGCCTGAGAACATAGTCCCCCGCTGCTACCCAACGCAGAAGCACAGCCACTTACTAGCAAAGAGAAGAAATTAGCTAGCCAATATGATAAAGAAATAAATGATTATTTTGTTTATTTCTTTTGCACATTTATTTGAACATTTCCATCGATTGTACAAGCACTTGGAAACTGTCCAATCCCTAGTTCATCAGGCATTTTCTTTTACGCTGCGGGCATTCTCCCGTTCTGTGTCTTCTAGGATATAATGCCAGCGCTTTTTTGTTAAATTTGTGTTTCCAATAACGCCACAGCAAACTCTTGTTTTTATGTCCACTATAACAGATCTCCTTTGCTTTTAACCGAGCATTTAATAATTTCCTAAAATGAAAATGATTTACTTTATTTCCCTCACGGGATCAATAAAAGTATCTATCATCTATCTATCTAAACTATGGGACAGAATTCTGGTGTCTCCCTATACCAGAGATTATGGTAGGGTTTCAGAATGGCTGACACCATCTGACACCCCTCTGATTGGGGAAAAAAGACGTACTGATCTGCTCTACATACAAGGAAGAGGATTTCTTTCTATTCGAAACGTGTATTTTAAAAGTTTAATTAAGAAGTAAAAACCTTACAGCATACACAGATTTCTAAACTGATCAGGAGGAAGAAAAGTCACCCATGTTTCATACAAAAAAAGTGGTTATTAACTATCGAAACCTGTTTTATTTATTTTATTTTTATTTAGATTAATAAAAGGAGTTCATTAAGAGTTCCCGTCACCCCCATTCCCATATAAATCACAAACCCGTGTTTAATTTAATGTCTTTTAACGTAAATCATTATCTTTGTCTTCTGCATAATAATGTTCTCCACTCTGTCCAGCAAATTAATAATAAACTTTATTTTATATAGCATTTTAAACGATAAGTAATTTGATTGCTCATAAACCTAATCACTTATTCTACATAAACACAGCATAATTGCTCTCTGAAAATGCTTTTTCTTTTTATTTAGGCTCAGATTTCAACTATAGATCATACACTAATTACTAGCAGTAAATACTGATGTTTTGCTCCCTCTTACCATAAAAATATTAAAAACAATGTATTGTAGCTGGGATGAACTTTTTTCGAACGTGTCTCTACCTGCTGCGACTCGGACATGGAATGGTTAAAGATGGCGACAACTCAGGCACCCAGAGATGGGGGGAGGCGTCTTTCTGCCTCCATAACTAATATGCCAAATAGGAGTAGTTTTTAATTCCGTTTGAATTATAGCTGTACGTACTATCTTCGTATTTGGCCAGGGCTTTAAAGCGAGGGTGCACCAAAATTTTTCTGTGCCGTCGTCTGCGCTTTAAAGGTACCCCTGTCGCGGAAGGATTTGACCTCGGAACGTTCACCCAGCGTAATTGTATTTCATTGCACTTTGACAGATTGTCCTTAAATCAATTGTTGTCAGAATATCCCCAACAATTTTATTAACTGGCTGTTTCAATAACCTAAAGTATATATTTAAAGTAATAATTTAACAATATATGTTAATGTTTTAAGATATGTTTATGTTGTGAATGTCTGAAGATTGTATCTTATTTTTAGTTTTTGTTTTGTTTCACGTTAATTTTATAAAGGAATCTTGATTAAAATACTTTTATTTTTTCACAATCTGGTAATGCCAGACAGAATTCACATTCGCTGCAGCCAAATGGCCTTGCAGATCAGATATCAAGGAACAAAACAATTATTGCGCAATGGAATCGCTTTAACATGCTAATGCGTTGGTGTAACACTCTGTGTCTACAGTACATTGTGAACAAACCGGTTTCACAGGTATTTTCAACCCCCAACCACTGTTGTTTCATCGGTTGTTACCCTGTAAAGCGCTGTGAGGAGCCACCTTTAAATGTTGTATGACAACAAAACTTTTTCCTAAAGCTTTGCACAGTGAGAGTAATATCATGGAAAGCAAATGTTTTGAGACAGAAAATGTACTTTTCATCTTTGTTTTCTTCTCTTTAATAACAAAACCTCGGTGTAACTAAAGCAGATCTGATTACCCGGTCCCCTGTCCTGGCTTTCCTAAAGTCAGATTTACCACTGGTCCTGGATAAATCAGAGAAAATTCAGGATCATCAGATCATCAAGCGGTTTAGAAAGCAAAACCTAACTGATAGTGATAAACACAGATTCTTTCATGGAGCCTGTATTTCAAACTAAAGTTCATATGAAATGTTTTTTTTCATGTTATTGAGGCTTCTCGTCCTGTCGCAAGGGAGACTTCCCATTAACCTAGCATGTTAAGCCAAACCTTTCATACTGTACCAAGTAGTCCAAGCACTCACAAGCATTCAATCCTTGAATATTGTTTTCTCTATTGAAGAATATTTTGGCAAATACTAAGCTAGTACTGTATGCACTTACACTCTTACAATTCCCAAAATAATGTTTCTCCAGTCATAAGGGAAACAGCTCACCATGGTTCTCCGCATTGTATAATATATAATACAGAATAACAACAAAGGTTAATTGATTTTTAATCTCTTTTTGTGGTGATTAATTGTACAGTACAGTAGTCTGAAAACAGTGGTACTGCTAGCTCTTCCATTGGTAACAGTTACGTGAAAGTAATAAATGAGGTAGTACAGTAACTTATACCATATTTTTTCTAGAATGATGCTACTTTTCGAGTAAAAAACAATGGTATTTTATTTCTGATCTCTTTTATCTTAAGGCCATATATTATTGGATTCAGTGTTGGGGGAAATATTAAGCCAAACACAGCACATATTTTCTTTACCTGTGGTGAAAAACTCTCAAAACGATATGAAATTATTGTAAGAAAACCAGTAACTTCCAAAATGATAAAAGTTACTAAATGAGTAGCACAAGTTTGAATGGCTTTGCTCTTTGCATCAGACTGTTTGTTATTCAGACATGTGAAAAGTATTTGAAGGTATGTGAAGATAACAACACCAATAGATGACACCTGCAAAAAAAATGTTATACAGAGTCCATAAATGTTATTTGCACTTGTGTCTACACAGACAAGTCTCACAAGAGACAAATTATCACAGTAAGTGTTGGCAACAAAGGATCGGCATCGTGGCAACCGCAGAACCATTAGAAAAAGCACAATTATCATTGTGACATTAAGTATCCAAATCAGAATAATCATTTTCAATAAAAAGGCATTAGTCATAATTGCACGGTATCTTAAAGGACAACATATGGCTAAATATCTATCATATGCCATTGCTGTCAGTATCAGTACAGAGCCACTTGCATAAATATGGATACAAAAAGCCTGGGTGACACAGGCAGAATAACTTATTGACTTGGAATCAAGTAGAATTTCTCTCATTAATGCAGGAAATAAGGCAGTGGCTCCTATTAGATCATTGATGGGGAGATTGAAAACTAGTAGATACATTGGTTCATGTAGATGTTTTTCCATACCAATTGTAAGAAGGATTACAAGATTACAGAAAACAATAATACAATAACATAACATTCCCAAGATAAATGCAGGGTAGACCCATCCAGGAGGTATGTTAAAGCTTTCCCAGGATAAAACAGATGTGACATCAGAGGAGTTATTCATTGTTGTAGTTTTTATACGTTGATCCTACAGAAGTCTGAAAAGTTAAAAATAAATCATATTTTATTAAATGATAATTAAATTAAATTCACTTTATTAAATAATTTTCAATACAATATACAGTCAAAAAAATAAAAAGGCTTATAAAATGTGAAAGCTTCTCTCCAAACATCTCTATGACACATCAGATAGAGAATGCTTTGGTTATTCACTACAATTTACAGTATGTACTCACAGTGTGCTACAACAAAAGATGAAAGTGATATATTTTTAGAAAGAATGTATAATGCCCCACTGTATATACTGTACAATAAAACCCTACTTACTTCATTTTTAACCATTATGAAAAGTCAGAAATGTACTGTACATTTGTCATTTATGTACTGTATGTGTCACATAATGTAATTCTTCATTTAAGATGTAACAACTGGTATTTTAACGTTTTATTGTTATTCAGATATTAAATATCCTAAAAAAGAAAGAACAGAAGTAGTGTGCTTTAAAAACACTATAAACAGCCTTACCTTTACTCCTCTTAATATCCCAGATTTACAAGTAGTGGACATCTGTAGATTTTAACCAGTGTGATTATTTTAACATATTTCAGGGAGCAAATGTTACCAGTCTTTAAAAAAGCATTAAACTGACAGGATTTAGGTACATCATTCCAATTTTGTTTTTATTTTGTGTCATAAAATGCTAAGTAGAAATATAGTAAACTATTGAAATATCTTAAAAAAACTTGAAGTAAAAAATTAAAAAGCCTTTTAGCTGACCAAAACCATAATACGAAAATAATGTAAATGAAGCATGAAAATGAAAATATGAACAAATGCCTACTTCCCTATTTTTATATCTTGATTTTTGAAGTCTGTTATGTTCTGTTTTCAAGATATAATGTAACATTTGTTAAAAAAAGCTGAGATTATTTGCAGCCTGTACAATTCTTATATGCCTCTCTTCTCCAAATGTCTGTGCTTGGTTTACTGGAGTGGCATGTACTTGTGTGAATCAGTATATAATCTCTTATATAAGCACAAAAATAAGAAAAGACAAAATAAACTAATATAGAGATTCTACTAAAAATCACTGGCATAACCTATGAGTATAAAATTGAAAATATAAGAGTAATATACTGGATTACTTACATTGGAGATTACATGTTTTCATTTTAGTTCTACAGTAGGTCCTGGTTTATCTCTTACTTAACACTCTAACAGTTCATCTGGACTCTGCAGCTGTATTTTATTTGACTCAAGATCAACCCTTGAGGAATGACACAAAATTAAAATATAATAATGACAATTAGATACAGTACACAGAAACATCACAGTATGCTGCAAATCCACTGTGATGAACTCTCCTAAGACTATTGAAAACTATGAGGAAAAAAGGAACTCTCATCCACAAAATCAGTACAGTTCCTTTTTGTTACATTGACAACAGGGAACACAGACAGAGAATTTTAGTGAATGAGTCTGAGCCATAGGGAACATGAGTGCAGTCCTTAAAGGATATATCAACTGTTATCTGTTGTTTTTGAGGCAATTGTTCTATGTGCTTGAATTATATCTAATTTAAAGACTCTAATCAAAAACTATCTTTTTGTTTGTGCTGTGTTATTCATTGTCAGCTGCCTCAGTTGTATCACCACTCAGTTAGCTTCAGAACTCCAGGGATACCTCCTTATTGATGATCTTCATTCAGCACATGTCAGTAACTCCCTGCCCAGTCAAATGGCATGCTAATCTTCTTATTTCATGGCCAAGTCCAGGAAGCTACTTTGTATTCACATTGTATTCACATTGAACACATATTTATGATTTGTAATTCACAATTATTTTTAGTATGCCAAAGCCAGATCTGGCAGCATGACAGAAGAGCAGTTCTATACACAAATGTGGGTTTCCTTTCAGAATATACAAGTTGGCATTTTTGGGGACTCATTTTGATATATTTACATTAGGCATTAACAATAAATAACATTAAGAAATATTTTAAAATCTTAAAATGATTACTGTTAGCATATAACTCACTTTTTAATTAAAATTCCAGAAGAGATTCCCATAAATAACATTTGCAGAACTCATGGTGAAATCCTTCACCAAACTCTTTCCATTCTGCAATTTTTCGACAGAATAGAACAGTTATATCCAAGAGTTACATGTGTGCCTTTATTATTTGGCACAGCATACCAGGCCTAAATTTAGACCAACATATACAGTACTTATTATCAATAAATAAAACAAGTATACAGCACACAATGATACACAACATTCATGGTTACACTATGGATGGATATTTCCAAGTTTGGTAAGTTCCAGAGCCCTATCTTCTGCAGACACAGAAAATCAGAATTCTATCCTTATAATCTAAATACAACCAAACACCTTAGCAGGCCAATGAGAAAGGACATACAGTACATCATAATAAACAAATGGACCCTAAACAGGAGTAAATCTCCTTCTGTAAAGAGGTGCTCACAGATAAATGGAAACTCATTTATTTTATATTAAGGTATAACAACAAGGCCTATTATTTCTCTTAGAATTAAGTGTTATTAAAGATTTCTAATCATCATTGTGTGCCTTGACCAAGCAGTCTGGTGCCTCTCTCTAAATTTACAAGAATGTAGTTAAAGATTCCCAATCTATGAATTGGTTTCATCACTCTGTTCTCTTCCCCACTGATGGCTGGTGTGTGGTGAGCGTACTGGCACACTATGACAGCTGTCACATTGTTGATGGAGGAGGGGAGTCCCCATTACTATAAAGGGATTGAGTGGAGTGCCCAGAAAAGCACTATATAAATGTAAGGAATTATTGTTAGATTAAAAGTATCTGTGTGTGCTGTATGTTTACAGGACTGAGCCTAAAACCAGAGCTTGCAGCACAGTCATCATAAAAAGACCATATATGTTATTTATGCTTGTATCAGAGTAGACTAGTCCGACAAGAGATGGATTATCATGGCATTAGAAATTAGAATTAAAAGGCTATGCCAATATGTTTTGCAGGCTGTTAAAGAGTGAACATTCCAAAACACCTAGACTTCGAGCACAATACTGTATGTTTTGTTTTTTCATGAGAAAAGAAAAGTACTCCTGGATGTTTCCATTTAACTATAATATGTAACAAGCAATTACATTTTCACCATTGACTTTCCACAGATAAATACAGGAGGGAAAAAAGTGTGCGTTTCAGTAAGAATGAAAGCAAACTACAATGTGTCTGCTGTTCCTACAGGAGAAAAGTATTGGTTTGTCTTTGTAAAAAGAGCAGGCAGAGAAACACCAGCAAACAGTCAAGCAGCAGTCTAAACGTGGGCAGCCCAGTGTTTACAACCAGCAATGAAGACAGACTAGCGTAGCAAAGATCAGCACAGGCATGTGTAGTACAGGAAAACAGTTTAGGGTGTAATTCGAAAGACTTGAGGTTCCAGCTGGGTAAACATGGTAGCACAGCACAAAGCTGAATCCAAACTCAGAGCCAAGGGAAAAAGTCCTAACACATGACACAAAATATTATTTCATTTAATTCTCAAATAACCCATTTCTTCTTAAAGAATAAGTAACATTAAGAAATACTTTCTTTATCTTTATGAGATCATATATACAGTATATATCTCTGCCTATTCCTGTTTATGTTTTCCTTAAACTCATTCCAGATTTTGGTGCCTTAGTAGATAAAAAGTCCTGTTAAGGCTTAACAGATTCATTTCATTTCTTATGAAGACAACACATCACATCCTTAGAGGACTAAACCATATGTCTATGAGAATGATTTACAGATATTTATACAGTAAATATCTATAAAGGAGCTGTACCAACACATAATTTGCAAACACTAAGAACACTCCTGAGAATGTTTCTGTGAGGCAGTACACAATGGATTTAATTTGAACACAGAGGAGAACATTTCCTATAGTATGTGGTCATGAATGACAAAATATTTGCTTTCAGTTTCTACAACAATAGGGAAAAAGGAGTTAATGGTGTTACACTGACTTATCTCTTATAATTAAATATACACTGATAGAAATGAGAATACTATAATTATAGCTTATGTACTTTTACAAAGAGTTGTCAATTTGTTTTAAGCCCTCTGACCAGCAATACAGCTTGTGCAGTGAGGCATTGAAACTTGCCAATCGTTAGGAGCACTTTTATCCTACGAGGTCCAGGTGGAAAAATGCCTGATCAGGTCACATTTAAAAAGGCCTCAAGCTTAGGTCACTGCAAGAAAAAGGCCACACTTACTCAGTTTTCTGTGCATTTCATAATGCCTCGAATGTCACCAGAATCAAGGGAGAGGACCATTGCCATGCTGCAGGCAGGCATGTCATGTCATGTCATGTCATGTGCCTGTGTTGCCCGACACTATGGAGCAAGCCACTCCACCGTGTCCCGACTGCACAGAATGTTGCAGCAGACTGGCAGGACAGATGACTGTCCAAGATCTGATTGCCCTTGAGTGACCACACCAGAGCAGGACCGACACATCAGACTGGTCCATCTGAGAGATCTTGTCAGCTCTGCCACAGTTTCTGTTGAAACTGCCGGCAGACACAATGCTTGCATTAGTGACAGGACAGTGAGGCTCCGTGCTGCTGGCCCTAGAGCAAGGCAACCTGTCAGAAGCCCTGTGCTCATACCTCCTAGACGTCACATGCGACTGGCTTGGGCCTTACAGAGGCTGCAATGGACTCGTCGGCAGTGGCATCAGGTCCTTTACATGGATGAGTCACTCTTAAGCCTGTTCCATGCAGACGGGAGGGCCAGAGTGTGGAGGAGGTGTTTACCAACTTTGTACCCTTTTCAAACTGAGAAATTTAAATTATGTGTCTCTTCAAGTTAAATTAAATGGGAAAAATACATATCCTTTAAAACTCTTATTTTAAAATGGTAGTATAAACTGTGAACTAAAAAACTGACAGAAATTATTTTGTCTTAGCGTTGCATTCAGGACTTTACAAATTAGCACTTTAAAAATGGCATGAGTGGA